AAGTAAGAGTCAAACTTACCCAAGCTTACTGAGGTATGGTAATACTCCACTTGAACTGAGGTAATGTGTAACCATCCCGCTGCCCGGTGATAAACTTGATCTGATGTAGGGCTTAACAACTAGGCCAGCTTCAACAGCTTTTTTGGCCAGGAGTCCTACCAAAAAAAAAAAAAAAAATCCACCACTAAAAACAAACCCAAGAGAGCTTAATGTTTTGTATACCCCTTTAAAGAACATATATATGATCCTACCTTAAGTATGAAGAAACCCAGAGGATGAGTAGACCTTTAGTTTACTAAATTATTTAAAGCAGCTACTTGCCTGAATAAAGTTTCTAAACTCATAACAATACCATTCAGGTTTTTATTCCCATTCCTATAATGTAGGTGCCCATGTTCTAGTGGACAGAGCAAATACATTTGTCTTCTGATACAGCCCACACAGCCTCAAATGGAAGCTTGCCTTCTGAGGTCCTCTGTGGCTATGAAGTAAGAGAGATCTGATGGAGAACTAGCTGCTCTGGGGAAACTGCTGCTGAAGGTACAACACATACTCTTTAACAAGTATGTAGCAATTGCTCGGCAATATGGATTTTTCTCTCCAGACTGCAGCTAGTCATAGTTTCAAGCTACCATCATCCAGGGTGGAGTCAAAGCTACAGCTTACCTCCTCTGTCAGTTGTGAATCCATCTGAAGAGAATCCTAAACTGGTTGCCTGCGATATACTACCGAATATAGTAATTACAAAATATTTACAATTAAAACTGGTTTATGATACAAATTTTAAGATTGTATTATTGAAGACTAACTTTCACTATATAACCTCCAGTGCTAACACATTTAAGGCTAGAAGTTCACAGCTTCAAACCTTCAGGTCAAGTCATCACAAAGAACCACAAAAGTGAAGATAGAAGCTGCGTAAACATGGCAGCACCAGGACAACCAAGTTAGTAGCCACTAGTCACAGCATACCTGCAGCAAGCATGACGGATGGATTACAATTGTTTGTACAGCTGATTACTGCAGCAATGACAATGCAGCCATGAGATAGCTTGTACTCATTTCCTTCAAAATTAACAGGTACAACATCATTCTGTTTCTCAGCTGCAATCTGGAACCCTTTAACACCAGACTGGATGAAAAAAAACACGTTAGCAGGTATTATAGCACAGAAGGTATGACATGACAGCAAGATGGAGTGAACCCTCATTTAAAAGTAATACTCAGCTGTCCCATTAGGAACCCTTAAACAGATTTTTAAAGCAGCCCCTCAGTTCACACCTCTCTCCACATAAACTGTGGTGAACAAATGCCAGTGAATGCATGGTTGATCTCACACTCATTTCCTGCTATACAAGACAGAAAAATCCCTTACAAGTACATGTCTAATTCTACACAATACTTGTTTCTGAATTAGAAGCATAGCCAAGATTTTCTTGGTAAGAGGATAACTAAAAGCAGACTAGTTCAATTAACATTTCACACCCTCCAGGCTCTTCAGTTATCCTCCAGAGGTCCCTGTCAACTTCAAGCACTCTGTGATCCATTATCAGTTACAATTTCTCTCTCCAGCACAACTGACCATTCTGTATTATACATCTCATCACAAGCCCGAAATGCTAAAACCAACAGAAAAAATTTTTATAGTGCCTAAATGTATATGTTTATAATATTGTTGCTAGTCTTCAACTTTAAGGACAGGCACTAAAAAAAATGAAGATGCATTCCCTCACTTGAGGCTATGGTCTAGTGGTTAGGAAAATGTTGTGATGGAGGTTGGACTTGATGATCCTAGAGGTCCTTTCCAACCATAGCGATTCTATGATTTCTTTAGTACCCACTCTCTTAGATACAAAAAATAACAACCAAAAATACCACCTTCAGAGTGAAAACATTTCCTCTGTGGAATCAAATTAAGCTGTAAGCAAAAATCATTCACGAAGTTAAGAACTCAGAACACTGATCACCTACAAATCTGGGATGTCTTTCAGCATTTCCTTTAAGATTGAGTTTTCTGTTCTTTTCTTATCTGTATTGGAAATTAAGTAAAACACAGCTGCTTGAACAACTCTGAAAAGGAGAAAAGGTTTCCCAAGCTTATGCCATTTATTACTTAAGTTTTTCCTCCCCAGCAATCTAAACTAGGAAGCTAAGGATCTTTGGAAGCTCATGTTCCTGACAAACACACCTATCACTTAGTAGCTACCATCCTCAGGATATTTGTCAAGCAAGAAAAGAACATCATTGGATAAGCTGTTTATGTAGTAATAAGGAGGGCTCGGTCGGTATGCAAGTAATATGTAACTAAATTTATTCATGTAGATCATAGCAAGTACCTTTTGACAAGTACATCAGCTGTACAAACCTTTTCATTTAAGCAGGATTGGAAGTCACTTTTCATGTTATTTACAGTCACTCTATCTTGAGACCTCTTGGGGCCACTGACATATGGAATAATAGAACTTAGATTAATTTGCACTACCTAAAACAAAAAAAGAAACAGAAAAAGCACGCATTATATTCAATCCCAGCCTGGAATACACTGAACATACATTACACTGGATATACTCTTGAGACATCCAGGACCTTTTTTGTTTAAAATTTCAATGTTCTGAGATAGTGAAACATCCGTTTTCGAGACCACCCACTGTTAAAGATTCCATATTATTTAAAGTGTTGTAACATTGCCCCTAACTTTTCCACCATCCCTAAGACTTACATGATCACTAAGGAGTCACAAATTCAATTAACTGTTAGTTGACAGAAACGCTACTGCTTCTTCCTTCTTCCCCCCACTCCCTCTGTATTTTGCAAACATAACTCACAATTTTGAGAAGCGGAGTAATAAATGCAACATTTAATAAAGGAATGAAAATTACAGCAAGAAATAAAATTGTTAAATCAGCAGTAGTTATTTAACATGAGAATCAAACAGAGAAACAAGTCATTCCAAGCATACCTGGGAATACTCGGGTTCCGTGGAAGAACTCTCATAATTTCTAAATAACTTCACAGCTTTAAGATATGCTTCCACGACCTCAAGCTTGGCCTTGTCAAAACCTTAGGAAGATTATTTCAAACATGAGAAAAGCCACATCAAAAATAAATAAATATAACAAAACACACAATTCTCATAAACTGAGACTGTTTTAAGCATATCACCCAAAGTACTTTTTTTCAAGGCTCACCATTTGTGTACCCCAACCTCCAGAAGCTATTCAGGAATGACACATAAATTAACACTTTTTTTTTTTTTTACATCAGTTAAACTTTCCTTCTTATATCAAGGAACAAAATAAGCTGTTCCAAATCTAGCAGCTGTAGCTTTAATTAGATTTACAGATTTGTCCCTGAAGTTCATAAAGCTTTCCTCTATTAAGATTTGGCATGTTTCAGTTTCAGAAAGGCTTACTTATGTGCATGAGCTTTTTTAGATATGTTACCCTGAGGCTTTCTCCATTTGCACTAGCTTGAAATATCAGTGTAATAATGCTCTTCAAAGGAAAAAAAAAAAAATCACTCAAAAAACAACCAGAAATGTGTTGTGTGGTTTTGCAGTTTCACTTATTTCTAGTAGTCATTTCAGATTTTAATTTTATACGGAATCTACAGGTGGTCAAGGGATTAACTTCCTATCAAGAAGACTTATATTCCATATACTTTTCAAAATATAATTGAGAATTTTCTGAACACTTTTCTTTTGCATATGTTTTCAAAAACAAGGACTCTGAACGTTGAAGAATAATGTGACATCAGTCCATCAGGTATGAGACACATGAATCAGACTTGACAAACTTCACATGCAAGTCAGGTATCCACATGTCAGCACTGTGCCTACAAAAACTAAAGCCTCACTTGAATACACGGAGACAAAATAGGCCACAAGAGAACATTCATGCCAATAAAGCAGATAAATAACTCCGACCCAAACACCACATACCAAGTGTCGCACAAAACTAGCCAACAATAAATATGTATTTTGTGGTAGGTATTACTCAGATGCAGGAGATTCTACAGGATAAAAGCTGTAGCCAAGTATCTCCAATGACACAAGCCTGCACTGTAACAGCACAATTTTATACATTAAATCCAAGTTGTAACTCAGCAGAAAAATCACCATTCAAAAACTATGGCGTTTTAAGCAAAAAATGTATTACCATACATATAAAACCACTATTACAATAAATCACTATGTTCTTTTCATCTTTACCTGTATGCTTTAAGTGCTTCAGTGTCACATTATCAACAGGGAAAAAGCTCAGAATAGCACCATATTCAGGACACATATTTGCTATTGTGGTTCGGTCTGCTACAGACAGCTGGGAAACTCCACTCCCAAAAAACTCAACAAATTTTCCAGCTACATCAGCTTGCCTAAGTTGCTGTTTAAGAGAACATACAATATTTGTTAAGTGAAGAGGTACAATGCAAGCAATGCCTGTTGCAACAATTTTCAGTTAGTGAATCATGAACATCTGAAACAGAAAACAGAAATTTTAAGGTCCATGTTCTTTAAAAAAAAAAAAAACACACCATAACCCCCACCACATCCCCAAGACCCATTAACATACTGGGTTCTAATAATCTACACTGGAAGCTGACATACTAAACTACACCTCCATCTGCACCCGAGTTCTTCAGACGTCCTAGATGAAGACAGATACACGATTCTATAGGCATCATGCCTGAACGAAGAATGTCTTTCCGAAACAACTGAAGCCCTTCAATGCTTTGATGCTTGCTTCTTCCACTACAACAGTGATGGTTTGTGCCACACTGGCAAAAACCTGTCTTCAGAAAATATCTTCTTGACTGACACCAGCTTACAAGCATATATAGGCCTTGTGTCTTGCAGGAGAGGTTTAGAACAAAAAGGGTAACCAGAAAAAGTTTGAGTCAGAGAAATAGCCTACATACTGTCAGCAGGAGAAAAATGGAAAACAGAACCTCTCTCCCTTGCCTCCAACCCTGCATACACACTTGGTTTCAAAATAATTATTTTTTTTAGTTAAAAGGGGCCTGTAAATAAACCACTATAGAATGAAAAGAAAAACCCCACTGCTTTGAAGGACTATTAAATAAAAGTGGTTAGAGGTTATTTGTACCTTTCTGTACTGCTATGATTAAAGTTATACTAAAACCACTCCCATCGTTAAAATTCAGTTCTCTAACACAACCCGCAGAACTTGCAACAAACTTTGCTTTGTTTGCAAAGGCATCCAACTCTTACCTTTGTAATGCTTAGAACAATATCTATAGATGTAGCAAGTGGGCTGGCTGTGCCTCTCAGTTCACACCCAACAACCTCAGGTAAAGTGAGAGTAAGTGGCATCCCCAGCATTACTGCTTCAGTTTCAATACCACCAGCACCTGGAAGAGAGAATATTAGGTTGCTTTTCATCAGTTTAAGTAACCAACACTAAGTATGTTAAAGTCTTAAAATCTAACAAAAGCCTTCCTATTAAGCATAAAGTCTACAGCAAGAAATGTGTAACTTGTCTGTTAAATATTTCTGCATAAAAAAACAAGCAAGCGAGGCTACTGCTGAAGTTAGCACAGTCAACCAAAAAATATTTTCTCTCTAAAATTAACTTTCAAAGAGAAAAACATTCATACGAATTTTACACTGCAGACAAACAGCACTTTGAAAATCTGTTCGGTTTTGGCTATTTTTTCTTTATATTACAAAAAGCAGTTTTTCAATTGAAAGAAATTTTAGTATTTTATCTAAAAGTGATGTCAACCAACAAATAATTCAAGACAGCCTGTTATGCCCGATATAAAAACATCCAGTGGGAAGAACATATTATATTTCCCAGTAGTACTTTAGCATGCCTTTCAAAGCACTACCAAGTTGTGCTTCGCATACTTACCCCAGCCCAAGATACCCAAGCCATTTACCATGGTTGTATGAGAATCTGTGCCAACCACGCTATCTGGATATAGGAAATCTTTAACTTCAAAAACAACTCTTGACAAATACTCCAAGTTAACCTGGTGCGCCATTCCAGTCTCAGGTGGAATAATAGAAATATTCTTGAAAACCTTTGAACTCCACTGCAATTTTTCCCAAACAAGAAAAAAGAAAGTTGCATTTTGTCAAAGGTACATTCAATTCTTAGAACGTAAATAAAAATACAAAACTAATATGCAAGAAAACAGTACTTGTTATTTACGCAAGTGGCTTTTTGTACATTTGTCGGAGGTATCTGATCCTCCTGGTTCTAGACATTCTTAAACATCAGCAAAACCATTAATTCAATTCCTGTCGAAGGCTAAATCAATAATTCATATCTACCTTTCAAAAGCAGGGCCGCATAAATGAGTTGTGTGAACCTTTAAGTTCACACAACTCATTTCAAGCACAGCTAGAACCGGTATTTAGATCACAGAGCCTAAGCACTCATTTATAGGAGAATTTAGCTTAGCTTTTACTCTCCTGGATGAGATTGAAGATGCAATTTAGAAAAAAAAAAAAAAATCTTGTCACATGCCAACTCAGGACGCTGCATTGAAAACAAGCTTGACACAGAAACCTGTAACAAAATTCAGCTTGGCAGTTTTCCTCATTAATAATCCAAAAGCTCATTTGCAACTTTCCAAAAGAAACCTCCTAGCCTACCTGCACGAAAAAAATTCTAGATCCTTGCATGGGATTTCTACGCCACGTTAAATTAGTGGATGAGGATCAAATACCAATGTTGCAGATCCCTGATCAGCAGCAAAGAAGCCCACGAGGTGTCCATTAAAAACAAGTTTACCAGCACTACTGCCCAGTTTGAAAGCAGCAATGTCTCAACACTGGCCTCTGTTCCAACACTTCCAACTTCAGTAAGACTTCTAACAGTAGCTAAATGAACGTTTTGCCCAGAAAATCATTGTCACCCAATGCACTGAGCTCATTAAAAAGCATTAAAAACACTAATGCTTTATAAATACATACTTTGTCTACTACTCTCCCATTGATAAGAACCAAGTCAAACAGCGTAAACTTTTTCAAGTTAGAACTACTGAAAATTATTTCCCCTTTAAATGACACTTAGATTTAGAACAACTGCTGCCTAACAATTTTTAGATTCAAAGCCACAAGCTATGTTATTAGCCAATTTCCTGTTCCCATATTAAATTCAGATTTGAGACTGACATTTCCAAATTATTACATTTATCACCTAAACCCAAACACTTGTAGACAAATGGTGCAAGCTTAACTTAAAACAGCCAAAACACAACACAATATGAAGCCCACTAGTACACAGACATACCTTAAAAAATTGAAGCCTCTCTCTATTTCTGCCAAATTCCATCTCCTGATTTTTCAATACTGTGTCAGGCCTAGAAAGACATCAAAGTTCACAAATACTCTGAGTTTACTTCAAATTACAGAAGAACAAGTTGTTATTTTTGCCTGTTTGATGAAAGACTCATTTAAGTCTGCAGGACACTTTCAAGTAGTTTATTAGAACAAAGATAATTGCTTCCTCACAGCAAGCTTTCTGCAAACAGTTAAAAATAAATCATTTCATCTGTGCTGTGCTTGACAACATGTTTATTGTGAGTATAGTTTGCCTAAAGTATTTGATCTCAAAAATACTCATTTTAAGAGATCTATCCCAAGAATGTACTACAAAACACAGAAGCCTTTTTTTCCTTCTCTTAATCAGTAGTCTTACAGGTTGCACACCTCAAAATTCAACACAGTAAAGAAGCAGGATGTTCACTAGCTCAAGTAAAAACACTCTCCGTGTTCATGCTAACCCTTCAGCATCAGGACAACTGCACCTATCTGCCATTTCTGTATTTTTTGCACCCAAGCCACAATTTTTTCTTCAAAAGGACTCATCAGTACAGTCTCATATAATGAACCATCTTTTCTTAATAAGTGTTATTTATTAAGATACAGGTACTCATTATAAAGGAGTAATCTACAATTTAAGAGGAATAGCCTCTGCTTTGAGGAAGTGGACAAGGAAGGGAACACAGTGGCTTTGTACCAGGAAGAAGTCCCCAATTTTTTTCTGCATTCTACCTGTACTGAGCAGGAACATCTGCATATCTATAAAGATACAATACAGATCTATAAAGAAACAATCAGCATCCTATCACTGTGGGATACAGATTTGGTCATCATTTAAATTCCACACCTGTCCAGCACAGGAAGATAGGGATCTGAGCACTGTATCAGAGTAAAGAGATGGCAGCTGAAAGAGGAGGAGGATTACATACATTTGTCATAGATGGAATGGTACACAATGATCTGCTACTAATATAGGAAATCTGGGAAAGGCAGATAGACTTTCTCAAGTCTACTCAACTCAAGTTCCACTGGGCCATTACATACAGGCAGGATATTCAATGAATTGCAAATCAGTGACTGAAGGACTGTGAGATCCCACAGAAGATGGGGACGATTTAAAGAATAGGAACTAGCATATACAAGACAAAGACTTCCGAGGACCTCTCACAGAAAAATTGCAAATTACTTTTGGAAATAAATCAAAGCTTCATTGATTTATTCATTGAAGTCTATTTCGTAACACACTCCTATACTTTGCTGTCCTTGTAAAGAAACGGGGGAAGTATCAAAATTTAATTTAAAAAGGACAGCCACAAGTCACATAGCTCGCCAGCCACACTGTGTTTAGTAAAGCCCTTCCTATACAAAAAATAATCTACTGTAGACCAATTCAAACATGTTATATCAAACCTTCTGGATGCTGAAACCTGTCTATGGCAAATATGAAGAAGAGTCCAGAAGTATGTTCAGGAAACAAAAAAAACATCTCTACACACTGCCAGAGGCAGTGCTTAACAACAGAGAAGTGTACAAATAATTAAAGACAGAAGGAGCTTTCATACTCAGGCACTGGCTGCAGATGGAAAGGGCAGAGAATAGGCGTGTTCTCAATCTGTGCAGAAAAGTGTCCTGAGCTGCGACTGGAGTCCCCGGCGCCACACGGCCCCTTGCAGCTGCTCTGACCCCTGCAAGGGAGCTTCCGAGGCTGGGCCTTCAGTGGGGAAAGCTTTCCCATCGCCTTCTGTGAATCCCCTCCTCCAGGGTGCGGAGCACTCTGTATTGCACTGCAGTGTTAAATGGAAGAATAATTTAGACATCCAGAATTTTGCTTTTTTCATTTTTTTTTCCAATCCCTTCGACAGATTACAAAACATGACCTGAAAAAAAGTTATTTTTCTACAACCCTGTTGCAAAGTAAATTAACATTAGATAAGTTTAGCTCAGTTCTGTTCGCTTACCACACTAGCTACTTGATTGTCCGAAAGATCAACCTCAGATACTGGGTAATTCCTTAATTTTGTTCACAGCAGACCAGAAATCTTTATAAACAATGTTGCAAAGGCTAAACTTCAGGGTTTCAAAGGTCTGTGGTGTGGGTAGGCCCCATGCAAATAGCGGACTTGCTGAACGTGGTTGGTTGGTTTGGGTTTAAGGCAGTGCTGTACACATTTTGTTAAATCCACAGAGATGCAATTGCAAAGCTTTCTCAAGGAAAGAAACAACTTTATCATTTAATTAGGCTTTTTATACAAACTCTCAAACACTAAGATAAGTTTTATACATTATTAAGTCTGTGGTAAGAAAAGTTTGGGTTTTTATTACAAAATAAGGTCCGTATAGCACACAGTCTATTTGTACAATATTCAGTCTTTGCACAAAAGCAAAGAAAGCTTATTGTGTGAAATGAATGCTGACAAGAAAGCTGGGGAGGGACTTTTTAGTATATCGAGTAACGACAGGACTAGGGGGAATGGGGCAAAGCTGGAAGTGGGCAGATTCAGGCCGGATGTGAGGAAGAAGTTCTTCACCATGAGAGTGGTGAGACCCTGGAACGGGTTGCCCCGGGAGGTGGTTGAGGTCCCATCCCTGAGGGTCTTTAAGGCCAGGCTGGATGAGGCTCTAGACAGCCTGATCTAAGGTGAGGTGTCCCTGCTCATGGCAGAGGGATTGGAACTGGGTGATCCTTGTGATCCCTTCCAACCCTGACAGATTCTGATCTGTTTTAGCAGAGGACTTTAGAGACCTAATGGCTTAGTGGTTGGACTTGATCTTAAAGGCCTCTTCCAACCTAAAGAATTCTATGATTTCTTACCTCTCAATGTTTACAAAATCATGGATTCCAAATTAAAGCTATTGCTTTCTTCTGCTTTAGTAACATGGAAAGATACTTAGTTACCAAATTGCAGGCTACTGCATGGCCTCAAAAGATACCTTGTCAAAAACCCAACTTAGTCCACCAGCCTCTGATCAGCGGGAGGCAGCAGCTATACAGAAGCAGCACAAACCACCCTGCAGTGAAGGGTTTCTTATCGTGAACCAGCAGCTGCTGAGATCCTGCAAGCTTTCCAGAAGTGAAACTACAGGAGCTGCATTTATCATTACAAAGCAGCACACTGAGACCTCTTGCCAGCCCTTGGTCTTTCTGATAGTTTTAGGCTAGCCTGATTGCAATCAAATCAGCTGTCCCTCCAAACACCAGAGTGGACAGACCACAGAACTAGAACACCACCTATGCAACACGACAAATTATTTCTAGCTTCTTGATCTTCACTCCTAATATTAACCAAACTGAAATCCTGTATGTATTTGGAAGGCCTACAGAAATAACTCATACACCCATGTCCATTTGACCACAGGCTTTTTCCCCACGAACTTTTAAAATTCCCTAAGAGCTTGACCAGTTTACAGAATTCTGCATGAGACTGAAAGGCTCCATGGGGGAGAGGTGAAGGAGAAGATGAAGGTGAGCTGCATTATTTACTGTTTACTTCAGCAAACACTGAATAAAATGTCAGTTTTTCCTCTTCTGCAGTATTATGTTTCTAGTAAAAGGCAGCTCCAGGCTGTTTTTATCCCATTACTGCCTATCAGAAAAGGAAAACCACACTATTAGTTTTGCGGGCCCAATACTTTTCCAGACTCCTACAAGTAGACTACTCTCTCTGTAGATATATGCAGTCTTTTTCAGTCTGCTGTACAACCCAAGCCCATAAAAAAAAATCAGTTGTAATGTATGGGCTGAAATGACTGTCTGTCAGTATGGCCAATTTTTAAGCTGTGTCTCTGGAGCTGTGACAAGGTGGTCATGTTAAAAACAAGTTTTGTTTAACATTAACAGTAAAACCAGGGCAAAGCAAAACTACAAACACTGTCTGACTCATTCTCTTAAAACTTATTTCGCAGAAACCATGACAGATCAAGTTATTCCAGCAATTTCTTGCCCAGAATTTGGGTTGTCAGTCAGCTTCATCCATAAATCCCCACAGCCATTCTTTTCCTCCTTCACAAGTGGTTATTTTACCCATTTTTATCCAGCTGTCTTTCAGATATCATCAGGTCTAGTTTCAGGGGTCCACACATGGCAGATTATTTGATGGGATAGTACCAAGACCAGAGTGAATCCATACTTAAGTATCAGACAGAACTGTATATTTAATTAAAAAAAAAAAAGATATCTTACCATTTGCTGAAATCAATCTGCAGAGAATGGTCAACAGTGAGATCAGTTGGGCAGGCAGGATTGACTTTCACAGGATCTCCTCCAGCATTTCTCACAGCTTCCCTCATCGCAGCAAAATCCACCATTGCTGGAATTCCACTAACCAACAGAGAAACAAAACAGTATACTAACATGGGACGTTAGCTCACTAAAACATACAAGCTTCTCTGTAGTTTTAACTTAAGTCTAGGTCTATGTAAGTTCTATTTCAGATAATAAACCCTTACTATTCTATTCTTTAAACTTAAAAGAACTTCAAATATTTTTAGAGCTTAATGGAGTGGTACTCATTTACAGCAGACAACAGCATGTTGGAAGATAACATACCAAACAAAAACATAGGAACATCTCAAAAGAAGAGAACTGCATTTCTTTTTTGTCTTGCCATGCTTCTGAAGTGCGCTGGTACTTCACTACAAGACTAATTTTTAGATATTTGCTACCCATACAACAGAACCATGCTATGCAAACAATGCTTGTGCTATACATTAACACATTCACATGCATTACTAGTCTTCTTATAGAGTTTCATTTCTGAAACTAATGGCATTTCACAAAAATATTCTGGTTGCTATTACGGACAGGTGTACCTGAAGTACAAAAATTGAGTGTACAATCTTTATGTAACACAGTACTATATAAATCTTCCTCACTTTTCTTGCCAGGCAGAATTTACCCGATTTTATTAATAGCACAACTCCTTGAAAAAATTCTCACTTATTGATAAATGCTAATGAGTCAGCAAAACAGCATAAATCTAATATTTGCAGCTTGCTGAAGGACTGCCCTTTTAGCTAGGCCATACTCAAATCACAAAGAAAGTTAATATCCTAAGAGCGTTCTTTTTAAATATATGTATTATTCACGGATTCAATGGGATTACATGCACTTGTGGAGTAAGCAGTATTTAATCTTCAGTTATCTCAAGCAAGAATTCTATCTATTTCAATGACCTGTCACCCATCTGGCTACAGCTGGAACGTCACCACTTCCATTTGTGTTGTAGATCTCATCCTGTCAAGCATTCCTTGTTGGCCAACAGCTTCAGACTTGCCAACCTGTCCTAAAACCAGGGTACCTTACAGAACAACTCCTAGCCTCACAGGACGTCTAATTGTCACAAGCAATCAACTGGGTGGCAGAAGCAACACACAAGTTTCTAATGAGAAGATACTTCAGTATCAGAAGGCTAGCTGCTGTTTAGTGTCAAGGCAAAGATACACAGACAGATACATACAACTCAGTGAGTTTACACAGATTATTTTGTTGGTTTTGGTGCACACACACACACGCTTACGTAAAGTCTTGAAGAACAACTCTGGCAGGACAGAAGGGCACTTCAACATTATTCTGTTTCGTTCTCCAGTCCAAAATGTTCATAGCATCTGTTTCCTTCACTAGGAAGCCATCACAGTTGCGGATACTGGATTCAAACAACACTCGTATGGAATAAGGCAGAGTATCTGGGGTAAAGCAAAGTAACTGACTTAATGAGTGCAACACCTTCAGCTTATGTGGTTCTTTAAAATTACAATCTCACATTTCTAAAGAATTGCACTTCACTAGGGATTGGAAGGATGAGAGCTACACGAGTCTGCTTTCCCAGCTGCCTTTGGGCTTGATCTTCATTACACACTATGTAACCATGAGTTGCACGATGTGCCCATTGCAGGGGATGAATTATCACAAGGGATGCGAGTGGAAGAGGCCAATGGCTTGGCTGCACTGTGTTAAGACAGTGACATTTAAGAAGGCATGTGATGCTGGCAGGAAAGAGATGTGAGGAATCTACAGCTGGCATCACTGATCAGAGTGGGTGAAAAGCAACAACTAGAACATTCAGAAGTATTTTTAACAGTAAATTTCACCACTTTATTACTTGAGACATCAAGCCAAAAGCATCCAATACCAGACTTTTTTTTTTTTTAAATAAAGAGCAATATGAAGGCCAGGAATTATTATGCCATGATGCCATGTGCCCTAAAATTCAACACATTTCATAAAATATAAAGAATGACATTTCACTAAATAGAACTTTAGTTAAGTTTGTTACTGATCTGGATTAAGGTATTGACTAGAAGCAGCTTTCTGACTTAAAAAAAAAAAAGTTAAGGAATCGGAAATAGGAATGAAATAAGTGGGAGGGGAAAAAAAAAAAAAAGCAGATGTCACTATTCACTGCAAACAAAAAAAATCCAGATTAATTCACATTTCTCCCAAAATCTCATTACTTTCATCATCTCTCAAGCAGGAAAATGACTTTGAGAACAGAGGAAAATATAAACAAGGTAGCTGGGAGGAAGCAGGTGAAACAATTAAGTGAAGGCTTTAAAAAAAAGTTAGATTTAGTAGTCTCAGCCTGATCCAGATATATGTCCACAAACTATTACTGTAGTATTTGCTGACTCCATTCTCATTGTGTCTCAGATAGTATCCATCGTTGCCTAATCAGACAAGTCAAACTAATGCAAGAATGTCATCAAAAATGTCTAATCAACTGTAATGACACCACTCACTTTATTTAAAAGCCAAGTTACCAGAAGAAAATGGTTTTGCTTTTTCTTGAATTACAAATGGCGTGCAATGCATCCTTACAGTGAAATATCCACCTGTCCAACAGGCTGCTCAGCAGCCAGCAGCTGCAGAGCGACTGCTCCTACTGGGCACTAGCAAGCTCACATCTGCAACACTGTGGGTAGTTCTGGGCCTCCCAGAACACAGGAGAACCCAAGAAATGAGATCACACCTAGTGAAAGGCCTCCAGAGGTGGTTATGGGGCTGCTGTACCCCTGACACACAGGAGCAGTTGAGACATCTGGGTTTGCTCACCCTCAGAAGACAAAGCTACACAAACTAATTGTAGGTGTCCACAATCTAATTGGAACTGCAAAGAAGGCGATGCTCAACCTTAGAGGTTTACAGTGAAAGGACAAAAAAAAAAAGTCACAAGGTGCAGAAGGGACCCTGTGACTCTGTACAGGAAGTTCAGAGAGGGTGGTTATGCACAGGACCAGGAAAGGGGATGAAATCTCTGTCCTCACAGATCTGCATGGCTCAACTGAGAAAGGCCCTTCAAGTTAGTTCCAGTCGCAGCAAGAGGCTTGACTAGATCTCCAGGTGTTCCCTTTGCCCTAAAACATTCTGAGCTCTTTCTAGCTACCGTTTTCACCCACAACTGAATGGTATTTTACAAACTAGAAAATCAGATTTTCGCTAGCAAATCGGTAAGTAAATCCATTAACATTTATTTTAGTAACCTGATTAAACAGGCACTTATCAGATTATAATCAGAAGCTGCAAGGCAGAGGGCAAACAAGTAAAACCAAAAATTGATGTTCTAGCAACAAATGCCATGAGCAATTCCAGATGCTGGATTTGCTGTCAGTGCTGTCCCACACTGTGCTTACATTTTATTTAATATCTTGCCAATATGTGCTTAATATGAGGCTTCTAACTTCTGCACAGAATTTTCTATCATAAGACAAAGACACTCTTAGTCTAGTCTATTTAAACTCCTTCTCCAAATTATCTCCAGGACCATCTGCTGCTGCTTCTCCAAGCTTTAAGGCACATCTTAGCAAAAAGTAGTTATCTTCTGTTCATACTTCTGCTCCTGTCACAAGGCTATTCAAAGAACTGCTGCAGAACTGACTGGTTTTGTTACTACCACACTACTGCTTCTTCCCGGATAAAGCCACAAACAGAAGCATCCTATCTCCTTTTTATGTGCTTATCTGAAAGATTACCTTCATTACCACGAGTAGTATAAATTTGCAAGAGCACACAGCTGTTGCACAGAAGTTTCAGCAGCTAGTGTGCACTAGCTCATCTCCGTTCCCTCCAAACAGGGAAGTCACTCTTGCTGTCAAACACGGGTTTAAAGTGAAATAGCCACTGCTAATTTTTTTAGTTAAGAAACAGCTCACAAATTCTGTAAATACAGGAAAGTAATTCAGACCTTACACAACTGGAAAAAAAAATCCCAAATACCATTAGTATGTACCTCAGGTAACTATTTAAGGAGTTTAACGTAAAAGCAGAGGGAGAGAACAATGAAAGCATGTTTTGATTATCTGCAAGAGTAAAGGCTATTCCAGCCAACAGTGATCTACAATGCTGTCCCCATGCAGGTGTTCCCCTCCTCCACCTCATGAGAACATGCTTTTTTTTTTTTTATGGTTTTGCTGGTTTGGTTTTGGTTTTTGTTGTTTTGTTTTTTAAAAGCACCTAGACACAGAGACCAAATAAAAGTCTTTTTGGAACACACCACTTATTGTTATGTTACATACCAATGACATGCTGAGATTAAGCAATTGTATGAACACCATAAAACCTCATTTTCCTGCAAGAATTGTAGTAGAAGTTACGTTCCAGTAAACACATGGTTACACACTATCCACAACTGCTGGAAGGTGAAACTTGAACACCAAGCAGTACAACATTATAGTAAAAACTAATTTTAAAGTACTACACAGTAGTAGTCACTTCATTGTCTTCCAAAAGAGAAATTATTCTGATTTGGAGTACTGATGAAAACTTCTGCTACATCTATACTTTCTCCCTTTATGATAAAGGGCTCCATGAAGTATTACTCCCTACCTAATTCATGAAGCAACAACACACTGGGTAAGTAAAAGCTTTCAAATACATCTATTAAGAATCCACATGTTCACAATTGTATCTCCTAATATTTTACAAGAGTAAATAGTGCATGCTTACTGCTGGCACCAGCCTAATTAATTAAAAAGTAAAATGTGTCATTACCATACTTGGCGCCTCCAAGCTTTGAGACATTGTAGAACTTCTTTTGTGGATAGTTTCCTAATGCTTCAATTATGGGCTGATAAGGGCTTCCTGGGAGAGGGGGAAAAAAAAATCCAACAGTTATAGCCATGAAAGAATGGAAGGTTAGAGCAGTGGTATAGGACTCATAAGAATGGCTTTTCATTTCCAATTTTACCAAAAATCACATAGAACTCTAAGGAAATTGTAATATGGAAAGGTTTCTAAATGGATTGAGACACTTGATGAAATATATGTGTGACTAAGATGAATTTTAAGAGCATCTGTAATACTAGGTATATGCAGGTCATGCAAGTAACCAGCATAGTCACAGGCCCGAGTACGTTTGACCTTTATTGCCTCAGTTCACCATCTACAAAACAGGATAAATGCATCTCACCAACTCAGATATGAGATACAGGTTTTAAAGCGGTAGAAAACAAAGCATTAAGTGCCAGGCTAACGACAAGCAAACAAGAGGCAAAAATAAGCCTCATAACAGCTATCAGGTGGAGAGAATAAATAACTTCTTAGGAAAAGAAAGAGTGGTAAAAAAAGAATAATGTTTTAATTCAATTGCTAGCAAATTAAAGAGACAGTACTAATGACAGTACTCCCTCAGGCCTAAAGAGCTTCATACAGTGAAAGCTTAAGGAACTAAAATTTACATTACAAACAGTGGGGAAGATGGTGTTAGCTCTGACATCACTGGGCTGCTCCTGTGAGCACAAATACTAAACGCTGGACCTGCAGCAGAACACTTTCCCTTTGTCTACCCTTTGCTTTGATCTTAGTACACTACAGTTACACCTTCATCGCCAAGCAAATGCTACATCACCAACAGCTAGCAAAAACTGCGTCACTTGAACACCCGAACAATTAACGTGACTGCCCCAAATTAAGCAGAGTACTGTTTAGGCCCCAGCCATACGAGCAGACACCTTCACGCGCACGGCGTCCCTCGCTCGCTGCAGCGTCTGCGGCACAGGGAACCCAAAGAGGGATAAAAATGGTCGCCAGGAATAACGGGAGGCTCAGCGGGACGGGCTCACGGCC